AAGTTCCTTTGAATTCTCTTCCTTCTCTCACAGTACAAACTAACACACAAAATAAAAAAAAATAAAATAAGGTGGTCGACAGCGGCAGTGGCAATGGGCGACGGCAACGACGATGGGCTGTAAAGTTTGATGGATGGTTGGCCTCTTCTCTTAGTAAATCTAAGTCTTTTATTATAAAATCCAAGGGGTGCCTTGGTGTCTCTTCAAAAAGGTGTCTTTATTCAATGAATCTTCTAGAAGTTGCCTCCTCAAAAGCCAATTGAATGAATTTTTGTGTCCATGGGCTATTTCCCATATTTTTATCAATGGTTGCTTCAAACACCTCTTCAAAAATCCACTCAAATTAAATGATTCATCAAGTAACTACTTTTGGCGTGTAAGCGCTGGGTACCTGGTGCTTAGGCGTGGAGCCTCTGGCGCTTAGGAGTTAGACTGGGCGCTTAGGTGCCCCAGTTCACTTTTGCCCCAAATTTGACCATTTTGTCACTTCTTTTAGTATTTTTCATCCATTTGATTGTATCTGCAAGAAAAACACATAAATATCTTTCATTAAAGCGCAATATCTCAAAAATAAGTATAAAAATGTGTATAAAAACACTATATATCACCAATCCCCACAGCCAAGTGGGCTCAAATGGTCTACCTCATGGAATTGACCTAATTATATAGTTAATTAACTAATTGATTAAGTCATTATAAAAAAGAAGAGAAAAGAGAGAAAAAGCCTTAGCCCAAAAGCTACCTCATGGCAACCCAAGCCCATGTATGACATCCAAACCCAAATCAAACCCATGGACCATTGTTGTTGGGTCATCCATGACCCTATAAGACCCATCATGACATGGGAGACACATTAGACACATTAGGCTACCTAAGGAGCCACCATTTTTGACCAAGGTCCAAAGCCATCATGAGGAGGGGATTATATAGCTCTGTACCTAAATTCCACATCATGACTCTTTGATCCATGATAAGGTGGTCAATTAAGCTCACTTATGAGCCACCCATCCACTTCATCTCTTCTCTAATAAGAAGGAAGCCATGCCACATTCAAACTCTTCACCAAGATTGAACTACTGATGAGCACACCATAGAAAAGCTAAGATGGATTATCCTCAGGAGAAATCTCATCATATGAACTCCCTGAGCCACTACACACATTCTCCAATGAACCCAAAGCTCGGAAAGGGCCTTCAATGGCCATTTAAGGCCATGAACAAGAGCTTTACCTAAGAGAGAAAGATGAGAGAGTTCCCTGATACACCTAAAAATTACCTACTTTTTCATATATATTTTATGCTCTATTTTTTATTATATTACACATTAAAGGAAGGTATTTTCTATATTTTTAGTTTCAGGTACAAGAAATGGACTTTTGGAGAAAATGAACAAAAATGTCACATTTTGATATGTATTTCTATGCTTAATCTCATTCACATTTCTCACCCATTTTTTAATGAAATTACACTTTAAAGAAATGTTTTTTTCATGCTTATTTTGTAGTTCTATCTGTTAGGAATGCAACGCAACTGAAACGGGGTGAAACATAGCTAAAACAGAGCCAAACAGAGTAAAATGCTGGAGTTGTTGCAGGGTAACGCCGACGACACTAGAATGGGCGCCGAAGGCGCCAGAGTCTAGAGAACAACAAGAAATGGCACCGAAAGTGCCCAAAAATGGCGTCAGGGACAGTTATTTGCCCATATACATTGAATTTGGATGATTTTTGGAAGGTTGTTTGAGTCATCTATTAGGAAATTCGTCCCTACACTATAATAGAGTGATTTTATGTCAGAAAAAGTGTGTGTGTGAGTGGAAAAATATGGAGAATGTTTATAGATATTAGAATAAGAGTAGAAATATAGATTTCTACCTTTTTGGAGAGATTTGAGAGGGGATTTTGGGAGAATCTGTAAGGAGTTGTACTAGCATTGCATGGATTAGCGGAAGACTTTCTAGGAGAGATTTTTATCTTTCTTTCAAGGAGAAAAAACTAAGTTTTGTGTTCTTCATTATCTTATGATTTTGTAAACACTTATCTAGTAAATTTGCTTTGATGAAAAGAAGTTTTCCATCGCGTTTAAAAAAAAAAAATCAAAAACTTGATTCGCCTCTAGTGTGTGTTGTTTTTCTACGTGTTTTATGTCAATTTAATTCCTCTAAGATGACGTCAAAAACTTGACCCAACTCGAAGTTATGCAATAATTTAGCTTTCAAAAATATGTTAAAAATTTGACCCAATTTATATTAAGTATTTAATGTGCAAATCTTAAATGTTATATAAAATATATAAATTAGTTTACACACTATGGGTTCTACGCAAGTGCATGTATCGCTTCAAGTAATATAGGACTTTCTTTAAAAACCCTAGTATCGATCCCACGAAGAAGCGAGCTAAGAGGTCCTTAGTCAAATTATAGTATACTACTATTAGTCCTTACTTTGGAAGATCGATTTAAGTGATTTTTCTAACAAGTACCCATAAATGTAAGTCATAAGTTTAAAACAACTAATAACTATTCCTAAATGAAAATATTAATTCTAAAGATAACCCATTTTGGATGAATTGGTTTGGATAATTTTGATATGTTAAAAA